TATCAAATTACAAGCGATAACTTCCTTTCTGAAAAACAGATAATGTAACAGCATTCGCAGAATGCAGCGTAAATGCCCCTGCACTTATGCTGATGCTGAGGTCAGCATATGCGATTTTATACACGAAACATTTTAATGTATTATAGTTAGTTTTTAACTCACATTCATACATACAACATGTACCAATCTTTCAATATATTCTTTAACAATTATAAACCTCTTTTAAAAAGTTAAATTAGATCCATGCGATCTAACATGCATATTTATGGTATCGTGGAAAATAGAAAATCTTGATATAAAAAAAATGCATTTTTAATAAAAAATATAATTCTTATTTCAAATGTTTTTACAACACTAATTTTTTTTGTAGATCTCAAAAATACTGCACACCGAATAATCTATATTAAGCGACAGAAGTGTTACATCCAGAAGGAATAATTTTTTGAACTTTTTTAACAATGTGTTAGTCTTACATCAAGAATGAAACGATAACATTTGTAAGAAATTTAATTAACATAGTTCGACGAACAATATGGGGAAATGCGTCGTTTTGCTGACAAAGAACGTGTGAACGGTAATCTAGAAAAGGACACTAAAGCGGATTTTAGGATATTATCAACATAACGCGCAGCTGTCATGCTGCCTCGAATAAATAAATGTGAGGAACGACTACCATAACAAATACCAAACAATAATAATGCTTTGGAGAAGTACTCGAACACTATCCAAAGCACAATAAACAGAAAATTATGTGCCGACTATGTCACAGGAAACCAGAAACGGCCAAACACATACTGTGCGAATGCGAAGCTCTAGATCGCAAAAGACAGGCTCTTTTTGGACAACCCCAGGTTGATCCAACAACGTATAGAACCCACTCACCCAAGGATCTGTACAAACTTGTACAAGGTACAAAGGTGATAGAGTGGGTGCTATGAACTAACATGGGGTAAAACACAATAAGCCAATAGGCTTCAGTGTTATTCGGAGACACATAGTCAGACGAGCCCAGGAAGAAAAAAAAAGCACAATAAATAATTCCTATAAAAAGTCCTGTCCTCTAAGGCTGGTCCAACACGATCAGACGACTACCGCATGGTGGTGTCACGAGTTGGATCACCTCAGGAAAATGGCTAGGAAATCCTTTAATAAGGCAAGAACCACAAAACTCAAAGAGGAGTGGGATACCTACAAATATCATCTAAGAGAATGCAAAAAAATCGTCAGACAAAAACAGAGATCCTACTGCGAAGAAATCGAAAATTTCCCGCAGACAGCGAAGCTTCAAAAAGCTCTCTCAAAAGATCCACACCGAAGTATTGGTATGCCAATCAAAGAGGATGGCACGAAAACTGCCAACCTCGAAGATAGCATCAAACTTCTGCTGTCTACGGTCATCACAGACGTGGCCGACTGGGCAAAGGAAGAATACAACCCATCTGTCTATGATTGGCAAACTGCCAAACACATTGTAGACGATATAAAAATTAGATAGGCAATATCCAGCTTCCCTTCATTTAAATCGCCAGGACCTGACGGTATCTATCCAGCCCTACTTCAGTGGGGTCTGGAAGAACTCACACCGCACCTGGTGTGTTTATTCGGATCCTCGTTGGCTCTGAGGTATATCTCCAAAAAAATGGAGAAAGGTAAAAGCGGTATTCATACCCAAACCTGGAAGGATGGATTAGACTGTCCCAAAAACATACCGACTAATTAGTCTGACATCGTTTTCCATAAATACATTGGAAAGGCTATGCGAAAGGTACATAAGGGATGCGGTGATTACAACACCACTACACCCAAACCAACATACATACACCCCAGGCAGATCTACTGATTCAGCCTTTCATCTAGTTGCTGGCCGGATAGAGATCCCTGGATAATAAGGAGTCCGCCCTGGGTATTTTCATAGACATAGAAGGTGCTTTTGATAAAAACACCTTCCGAAAGAACTAACCAACAGGAATGTTCCACAGATGGTTAGTGAGTGGATACATAACATGCTCTCAAAGCGAGCAGTAAACGTAAGTGTAGAAGATGTGAATATAAGAGGATTGGTTGCGAGGGCATGTCTACAGGGAGGGGTGTTATCACCTCTACTGTGGAACATGGTCCTCAAGACCCTCATCAGCCACCCCAATAATGACAGTCACTACACAATAGCATATGCAGATCACCTGGTCATTCTGGAAACAAGAAATTTTGAAAACATATTCTTTGCGAAAGAATGCAAGTAGCTCTAAAAATTATAGAACAGTGGTGTAAGTACCATTCACTGTCTATCAATCCTAAGAAGACATAAATGGTCCTTTTCGCAAGGAAAAGGATGAAAATGAAATTAAAACCTCCAGAACTCCTAAACATAAAACAAAACTTAGCAACAAAGGTGAAATACCTAGGTCTCACTTTCGACAACAAGTTAACATGGAATTCGCATTTAGAAAATACAGTAAAAAGAGCATTGCTGATGAACAATATCGCCGACCCGTGGAGCGCACTTAGCGTTTCTCCCCCGGAGTCGTCGCATGGACTTACACGACCTTTGCTAACATATGGTGCAGTTGTCTGGGTACCAAAAACCCAAAAATTTAAAAATATCCGTAAACTAGAACAAATTCAATGAACAGCATGTCTCAACATAACAGGAGCCATGAAAACAACACCGACCAGAGCCATGGAAGTAATTCATAGTGTATTGTGCCACCTAAGGCCTATTTATTTTGTATAATGATACTCCTTGGTAAACACTATGTATTTATTAATACATCAGAAGAAAAACAGAATAAAACAATATGGTTGAAAATAAACATGTCTAGCGGTAACAGTAGAAGCAATCTCGAAAGAACGAATGAATGTCATTAAAAACTAAAAGCAATAGCGTCTCGCGCGCACTCGGTCAGAGCTTTTCGGGTTCTCGCGGCAGCACTCGTCCTAGTTCCGACGGTGGTATAAATCGCAAGTCGACACAGTCGCAGGTGGACAGGGTTGCCGGTTTTCCATATATTGACGACCTCCAACACATAGTTTCACTCCTCTTGATATTTACATCAAGGAGGTTGCTCTGGTGACAATGACACGCCTCCGTACGGTTGGAATAGAACCTGATGTACGACCTGGTGAGGCGAGATGTCGCTTTTAGCAGGAGGCGCTCGATACGCTCCCATTGCTTCAAGCGAACATGTACTCCATCTCACCGAAATATATCTTCCATAAGCCATATAAAGTTGTAACAGAACAAATAGAAGATCCGGAAGTGGCAGGTACGATTCATATCTACATCGACGGTTCTAAAACAAAACAAGGCCCAGGATGTGGGATATACTCCAGATTCTTAAACCTAAACATAAAATGGGTTGTGAGCAATAGTATCACTGTAGTTCAAATAGAGCTAACGGGGATTCTCATAGCAGCAAAATAAGTTACAAGAAACATGTTCATCTATACAGATAGCAGACAAGCACTGAACAGACTACGAATTTACTCAGGGTTAGTACTAGAATGTCACGAAGTTTTGGCCGAAGTATCCATCAACAATGTGGTCATCTTAATATTAATCAAAGGTCACTCCACATCGAAAAATAACCATCTCATTCATCTCATTCACTAGCAAAGAAAGCAGCCAACCAAATACTATTTGGACCTGGCTCTTCTATTCGCCTGACAAAATCGGTAGTGACAGACATATTTAAAGAACATTCTCATGTGAAATTCGAGGAAAGATGGAATGAAAAAAAAAACTGTAGAGTTGCCAGGGAGCTCTTAAGTTATCCTGACAACACTGCAGCAAACCAATACTTGACAGGCATTCTGACTGGTCGTAGCCAAATACGAAAGCATCTCTATATCAATAAGATAAGACCATCGAGCATATCCTTTACGATTGCTCGACGCTCTCATTTATTAGATTTGTGTTCGGCGAGTATCGGTTAACACCGGCCGATATAAGAGAAGCACCTCTTTAGAAATATATGAAGTTTGGAAATATCAGACTAAACAATACAACCCTGAAACCAAAATCGGATTACATTACACACTTTTTGAAAATATTAAAACTCAGGCTTCTGGGTGGCATACTAGATGTGACACCCCTAAGAAAAAAGAGGTCTACATAAAAGAATATTTTGACAAGGAGAGTGTAATTCTAGATCCTTCCAAAATTGAATTTAACCCCGATCTTCGTCAGTTGGATAAAAATGTTATCGCTTCTTTCTGGGGTAAACTTGTGCAAAGAGAAAATCAAACTCAAACCTCTATTATAAAACAACCATCTGTTTTTTACAACATGTTAACGAACCCCCCAATTATTATTAATACCTGTATACGAGGATGTCGTAATAGTCAATTGGGAATATAAGAGTCTTATGATATTCTTTCTACCGTTAATGTTTGTCTCGCTGCGTATAGAACAGCTTTGGCAAGATTAAAGCTTTATAGCTATCTGGAACAGCTTGGTGATAGGGTATTGTATTATGATAGTGTTATTTATACATATCAACCGGGTCAGTGGGATATTCCCTCCGGGTCATTCTTAGGGGAGGGAATATGGTACAGGCTCTTATATCTCAAAAGTTCATTTCAGGAGGTCCTAAAAATTATGCCTATAAAGTTTGGTCAAATAAAAAAAACAAGGGCGGCTTGTGACCAAAATTTTGGGGGTTCACAGTAGCAGAATATAGGTTCCGGTACAGATATAGGTAAAAAACTGTCAGTGTTTTAGAAAGGTATATTATAAACTTTCTGAAAACACAAGTTTTTTTCATACCTATATTCTGTCACTGTGAACCCCCCACGAGCCGCCAATGAAAAAAAAAATGAATATGAAATTGTTTGAAAAAACTGATGTCGGAACTGACGTTTTCGGTTGGAGTAAAACGTAACGAAAGTTGTTGATTTTTAAATGGTTATAGGAAAAATACTTTTTATCCACCAATCTGGTTTTAGATCTCAACATTCGTGTGAAAAATAGGTAGATTTAAATTTATCAAATTAGGAATTACCTGTCCTCTTTAAATCCCGTTTAATCTGTCCATAATCATGCCAGTCAATTTTTTCATTATCCACCAGAATAATCTGTAACAAAAATTAATAATTAATATTTTAGGGTAGGTATTAGTTCTTTATGGTGTAACTCAAATCTATTCTGCTTATATTGTAACCAAAATTGTTCTTTTATTTTGTTTTTTATTGACCCGCTGTCGTAAAATGATAAAACATAAGTTCCTTTATAATTAAAAGAGTCTTTCAGGTCCATATTTATAAACCGATCTAAGGTGAGTCAGGCTACGTATCGATTGTCAAGTTTGTACAGATCGATAGGAATGGCAAAATCCGAAACATGCACCAACTTGAGACACGATAGAGAGAACGATTCATGCCGCGTTGCCAAATTTGTTAGTATTATGTAAAATATTGAAGTAGGAAAATAGATACAAAATTGTTATATTTTATATTATTATAACGATGCTGGATGGTATATACATGAAAGGCGAAACTTATAAACTCGTTGGTCAAGGCAGGTGTGGTTTGTTATGAGCTCCCAGCGAGGCAATAGAGGTTGGTGAAAACCCAAAGCCAGGCGAGGCATTAGGTAATGACACCTGCTTGGTGGGTCAAGGTGGCGTCTTTGATCTCTAAGAATATAGGCGACGCAGGTGTGGCCGACTGATGCTTCGTAGGAGTTCGAGGTTACTCAACAAACAAGAAATAGTAAAAAGACGAAACTTATAAGTTTGGTGGTCAAGGTAGGTGTGGTTTGCGATGAGCTCTCGATCCTAGAGAATGATGTGGTGTCAGGAGAGAGTTCATTCGGATCATGCTAAACATTTGGCTAACATTACAATACCTAAAAAGGTTATAACCACTTCTGGTTCCTCTCTTAGAAGGTATCACTGGAAGAATGAGGTAGACCATGAATCTGAATGGTTTAGTTGAAGGTGATACTGAGTAAAACGAGTGACGCCGTCTGTGGGATCTATAAATTTGTTTATCCCATCATATTAAATAATTGTCGTTAAATATGTATAAGATATATTTAGTAGCATAAATGACATGTGGTGTATAAAAATTAAATCATTATGATGATCAAACTAGGACTGCCACGAATTGAAGGGTTGGCTAAAAAGTGACAAGTGTGTGACATTCTAACGTATGTAGTGCAACTGAAACACTACTCCGTCACATGTTTTTTTATTTTTAATTATTAAGGACATTTAATTTTACATGATGGCCGAATTTTAAACTCTAGACGGGACCAGCAGCTCCCATCTTGAAAAATCAGCTTTCCAGACGATGGGTGAAGAGATCATTCTACTCTAGGCATATGTAAAATCAACCAAGTCCACTATTTCAGTGTCGCTGCAATCGTGAAATGCGGTGAAAGATGGTAATGGCAAATGAATTATTGATTGTCAGGGTGTCATGGTCGAAAAGAAATCTTACGAAAACAGGTGAGTTTATTTATATAGTTAACTTGGTTGCAGTTAGTTGTGTGTTCATTTTCAATTTATTTAGTCGAGCCACAGTATAGTAAACAATCGGTATTGCGACTCATATTTTTCGGAAGGCCTAAGCATCAGAACTGCATCATTTGTGCCGCCATTTTCTTAGGATCAATTTTATTGTGAAGACATGTTTTGTGCAGTAGCTTTTTTCTAGTCTTCTGCTAGTGGTGTATCCAGAGCGTTGTCCAGTGTTATTTGTCTTTTTAGTGGTGATCTCCATAGATTGGACCATTGGACGCCTGCTTCACAGCATTGATAACTAATAATCAAAATTATATATTAAATAGTATCTTTTAAACTTTATTGCAGTCTCAATTTTAGATGGGAGATCAAAGATATTGTAATTTTAAGTGTGCTATTATAATTTTGTATAAAAAGTTTTGTACAGATATATAAAAATTATCTAAAACTGCGAACAAAATTGTGTGCTTCTAAAGCACTTTTCCAGCATTTGCAAGTGACAGGGAATTGTATGCCTGAAAATCATCGGCCGCCTGGACACGAGGATGCCGGCAATGTAGTCTGACACAAATCTGTGCCAACACTTCAAGTATTGTTCACATTTATTGTGTCAGTGTTAGGCCATTAATGTGTGTTTCCTGGGCTAGTACTAATTTAGTCTCTTGGGATACAGCTGGTTTACAGAGGGTGATTTTTGTTTCTCACCTCTTTCGCAGATACCACTCTCAGTTATTACCTCATCGCTTTCTTCTTGGCCAGAAAAACTTGTTCCATCCCTTTCTTAATACAAGTTAAATAGAACCAGCCTAAATGCATTTTCTTTAACAACCAGTAATATATCATACTCGACCTATAAAAGAAAACATTTCTGCCCTTTGTCTCATCTTGAAGACATCACACTTTTGGATACCTTTGTTTTCTTCTTAATAAAAAAAGTTTCATACATAATAGCTGCATTCAGTCCTGAAGACACCACTTGTGCCGAAACCAAAACATTTTAAACACATATTGTGTTATTGACTTTTAGTACTCACTTATATTTATTGTTGTTTATGAAATAGAACCATTCAAACCCTCATAATTTAATACCTAAATAGTTAATGAAAATAAATGTTGCTCAGGAATTTTTTGCTTTTATAAATGTATCTTGTGTTTATTAATAATAAAAAAAAGTAAAACACCATTAACTTTTTAATTTTTATTTGATTTTTAATGTACTTTTTTGTTATTAATTTAGACTATAGAACAGGGTAATTAATATTATTTTATATTCTGTAATATTGTTCCTTTTCGTTTCCCAAAATTTGTTATTTTCATATTTATTGTTAATAAAGTTATATTACTGCATATTAGGTTTTGCTACAAAAACATATTACCAGTGCTCCTCCCTTTTATGGCGAAATTCTAAAAACACAAAACGTCCTCGCCTAAAGCTGCCGGGCCCCCCCTTGTGTCCGAACCCCGGGAATTTGTCCCGCCTACCCCATCCCCTCTCGTCGGCCCCCTTCAGAAGCCCACAAGATTATTAACAATTTAGTACTGGAAAAGTACTTTTAACATACCTATTTTGTATTTTTCATCTACAATAAACTAGAATTTGTACACACAAACTCTATTTTTACGTTATTATATCGATATTCGCTATAATAAAGCAAAAAAATTAGTTACGTAAACCAATCTTAACTTGACTTGTACGTTTTTAGGTTTAATTAATATTTGAATAATAAGCTGAAAGGTGTACAATGTCATTTGTAGCTTCTGTGATTAATTTTTAAATTTCACCCCCAATTGCACCCCCTCAGACGGAGCAAAAGTTAATTGCGGGTATGGTTGTTATGTATTGAAACCTCCCCAATTAAAATCTGCAAATGAAAAGCCTCTACATGTCATTTGAACCAAGTTATGTGACTATTACAATGGATCTGTATTTTTCTCAGTGTACATTTGTGGATGCGGATAACTTCACACCCGTTATTAATTAGGCCGTGGATAAAATCCCATACGTGGGATCGGGTTGAAAACATTAAATTCCTGAACGGGCGGAGCGAGATTATTTACATATTCGATAAACTGCAAGTTCTCATCTAAAAGTAAGCCTAGATTTTTAGCTACATTTACAGACGGGACTGTCTCGTCATCTATGTTAATTTATAGGAAACTTGAAGATCGACTGTCTATTAAAACTTTTTGCGAACGATTATTAAGATACATTTTTATAAAAGAAAGTCGCTTTTCAGAAAAAAAAAACATATTAATTGCATTTAGAAACTAATAAAAGATGACTCAAAGTATCAAACGCTTCAGTATAGTGAAGTAACACTAGTACTGTAGCTTATCCCAATATAACTGAGTCTGTTTAGTGGTACTGTAGCCTTTTTGAAATCCTGACTGATTCAATGTAAATATATTATTAGATGAAAAGAATTCATATAAAAAACTCAAAATAATTTATGATTAATAAAGTCAAATCAGCAAAACTAATTAATTAATGCAAAAAATTCAACAAAAGAATGTTGGAGAATTGTAAATGAGGCAAAAGGAAAATCAGTAAAAAATTACCCATGGAGATGCTAAATTGTCAAGACAACAAAATTTCTGGTGTACAAAATATATGTAATGCTTTTAATAATCAGTTTACTGATGTAGACTATCTTCTACCAAATTATAGTGAAGAAAGGCTTCAAGATTTTTCTATAATCACTCTATTTTTAACTCCATCTACCCCTAAGGACATAACAGAAATTATACAGAAAACAACTTGTAAAAAATCTGCCACTATAGATGAAATAGATGGAACAACATTGTCTTTTATTGCTGAATATATTAGTGCACCTATGTCCTACCTTATAAACGAGTCTTTTATGTGGTGACTATCCTAGCATATTAAAAAAATCAAAATACATTCCTATATATAAAAAGAAAGGGTCTGTAAATGACATGGCAAACTATAGGAACATCTGCATTCAAAGTCAATTGGCTAAAGTATTCAAAATGGCCTATAATAACAAGTTCATTAAATTTCTAGAACATAATAGACTTTTGAGTAAATTTCAACATGGTTTTCGCAGAAATAAGTCAACGTCTAGTGCTATAGGGGAGTTATGCTATTTTGTTTACACATCTTTAAATAACAAGGAATTAAATATTACCTTATACTTTGACCTCTCACGAGCCTTTGACTCAATTGACCATCGACAGTTAGTAGATAAATTGTATCAAATAGGTATGAAGGGCCCGCCAAATAAGTGGATACAGTTATATTTAAACAACTATGAGCAAGTAGTGACCATCGAATAGTCAAAATGTAACAACGGGAGTACCGCAGGGCTCAATATTGTGCCCTGTTTTATTTTTAGTTTTTATTAATGACTTAGCTCTATCTTATACAAGTCAAAGTACCAAAATTATATATGCAGATGACACAACTTTTTTGGAACATCAGCAAAAAATGCATTTGAACTTCAATATATTGCTAATAGTGCTGTACATGAATTATATTAGTTATTGTATTTCACACGGCTTAAATGTTAATGTAAAAAAATCTGAAATCATGACCTTTCTACCAAAAAATATAAAAAAACAACTTCAGCTATCTCGTTAAACCAAATCATTATTCATACAAATAAATTCGAGCAAATTCTTAAGTCTAATTCTGGACAGCAAGTTAACGTGGGAAAACCATGTATATCATGTATCAAATAAACTAAGTAGTGTATGTTTTCTAATGAGGCAGTTAAAAACACTGTAAATCCTGATGTTTTAAAATTAACATATTTTGGTTTGGCTGAATCAATTATCTCATACGGTCTAATTTTTTGGGGCTGCTCAGCTCATCTTGAGCGAGCCTTCTGTGTACAAAAAAAAAAAAGTTATAAGATGCATGGCTGGGGTTTCAAGAACAACTAGCTGCAAACAACTTTTTCATGACTTTAAAATCCAAACACTTCCATCTTTCTATATATTATTATACTTACTAATACTTAATATAAAAAACAAGAATCCCAACTATCAGATTATAGACACTCACACAATTATAACACATGCAATCACAAATATCTACAGCAGTCTTTCTCTAGACTCTCAGTTGGACAGAATTTCGAAATCTACAGGTGTTGCATGTTTTAATATATACCTATTCAAGTCAATGGTAATGAAAAAATCTTTAATGTATTCAAAAATAAGCTTTATGCATATCTTTCGTCCAAAACATATTATTCCTATGCAGAATTTATTAACGATACTCGGTGATCCGTAATGGTATCTCTTTATTACAATTATTGTCTAATGTTTTTGCCCTATTGTATACTATTTTTAATTTGTACTTTATTTTAAACTCAATTGTAGCATGTATCTACTTTTTAAAATTGTATGTGCTGACAAGGCTAATAGGTCTTATATGTTTATACATTTTTTAACCTTTTCAAAATATTGTAAATATGTATGTCTCAAAGCCAAATAAATATTATTATTATTACACCAATGGGATGAACAAAAGAACCTTATGTGCAATAATTGTACACTATTCCCGATAATAAAATTGTGCATTCATATTAAATGTGAAATCCAACCCTTAGTGGTTAACTGTTACTTACTGTTAAATAAAAAAGTAAAATGTTGAATTTATGCAGGTAAATAAAAATAGGTATTTTACTCAAAAAATTAACAAAATATTTGCATTACATTTTCTGTAACATTAAATATTAATCAACTGTAATTTCAAAATGCCATTGAGAGTTATTATATTGTAAGAAATTTGGAATAGAACTTATAGGTAAGTAGATTATATTTGTTTTCCAAAATATAAGAGAGGAATTAAATAATAAGCAGAACCTTGCAGGATATAGGTAATCAAATGGACAGTCCATTTGAAATTTATTTCTAATTCAAAATCTAAAATAAGACTGCTTTCTACAGCATCTAAATTAGAATTACAATTAATTACTTTTTTATCCCTTTTTCAGTGATCTAAGGAATGAGATAACTAAAAACTTAACTTTCGAAATAAAAAAATGTGTAAGCAATATTTAAACAAGGCCATTACTACTTATTTATAAATATAGAAAGGTAGAGAACAAAAAAAATAGTACCTACATATATGTAATGTAGATATATTTATTAAATAAAAAAAAAGTTTAAAATACACCTATTTTTACTTACTTCTTGTGGAGCTAAGGGTTCTATTCCAATATTTTGGGCACCTATGAATACAGCATTGTCCTTTAGATATTCTCTAGTTTTAAATATCCTATAAAACAGCACAGTAAACACTACGGTCACTGATGATATTAAAATATATTTTAACAAAGTTTTTAAATTTCTTCTCATGTTGACGATCACAGATTCCACATAAGCATATTATTTATTTCACATTTTAGATTCAGCCCGAATGAATTATCAGCTCATCGCGATAAGATTAAAATTATACCTCAACAAATACAAATTTATATCTTGAGTTTTGTCAATGATGTGACATCTAACCTAACTTTGACAAAACACAAAACACAGTTGCAGAACCGGTCTACCTCGAAATACAGGCTACCGTTAACTAATTAAAACTATTATAGCAATCACCTTTATTCAAACAAAAAAGTACATACTATGCAAAACAAATTGCACAATATCAATAAATGACAATGAAAGAAAAACGTGAAGTGTGACGTGTATACGCGTATTTGCTGTTGCTGAACAAAAATCCACAAGAACGAAAACAATGGAATAATTCAATTACATTGCGAGTCTGGAAAGTGACATTTTTCACACGAGTGGAAACTATATTCTCGCACAAGACATAAGCCGAGTACGAAAATCATTTTACACAAGTAATCTACATAACATAGGTACCAAAAATATTTGAATACAAATAATGGTTTTTTGCACATTCAAATCCAGTTCAAATTTCAAATCTAACTCAGTTTTGCAAGGTCCAAAATTTTTATTTCCCTAGATAATTGTCTCAAAAATTCCCCAGATCTTTTAATTTGGAAATGAAGAAAAATATACTTGGGAATAAAACATATTTATTAATATTTTTTTTCTACAATCACTATCCAAAGTAGGCTTTTGCGCTTCGAAATTCAACCACACCACAGTTGACGTTTTCCGCAAACTGACATCTTTGTCGATCGCCGAGTGGAAAACTAGACAACTTTGTCGCTCGCCTAATTTAAATTAAATATAATAATATTTCTTTTTAATAAATTATTTTGAATTTATTTGTACCTAGTTTGACGTTTTATCTTTTCTTATCCAAGTTAAATTTGACTTTGAATATCAACGCCTTTTTTCATGAGTAACGTAGATATAGGCAACACATTATACACTACTTTCCATACATTTTATGTTTTTTAAAATAATGTGCTCGTAGAAAAAATCTTGTGTGCATTTTGAGCGAAAAGTTCGTTATCGCTTTCGATAGATTGCCTCGCCCCGCTACGGGTCGCGCGGCCAACTTTCAGCCTCAAGCGGCAAAGTGTCACTTTTTGCTCTTAATACACAAATAGCTATTTCTCCCAATAAAAATCAAGCCACTTATGGTTTATTTTTTTATTCAATTAAGTCAATTAATAGCTATTTATGTACCAGTTACGAAATGCCTTCCCAGACAGCACACCAAATCCTTTGGATATCTACAACATCCCAATATCCACTGAATGTCCAGTCCATGGTAGATATATATTTTATATCCATGAGATGTAATTTATAGACATGCAAATGTCCATAAATAATAGTAATTATATAGCAAATTATTAAAAAATTACGCCATTGTGGCTAATAGTACCGTTCAGATATTTAAAATTATTTTTTTAAGGTGTATTCAATATCCCATGAACATCCACTAAATATATCAAAGTCTAGGCGCGAACGCAAACCATCGTGGATATCCACTAGATGTTATTTGATTCTGCTTACTAAGTATAGATGGCGATACCACTATCGCATCTACTCATGCTCGACCCGCCGTAACAGAGTTCGATCGAAATTTTTGTCCTACAGACTCCATTAGAGACTGGAGTCGAGAATTTCCATTTATTGCTGAAGAGTCCTAATAAGGATGACTTTCTCCTTAGTGAGCAAAATCAAAGGCAGTGTTGAAAATATTTTGAGTGTTGAAAATATTTTTTATCTCTGCTATATTTTCTTTTGACGTTATTCAATAATCATTGGTTACTTATGAACCTCTACTATGAACAATCTGATTCTTTAGCTGTAAACTGTGTCACAGGGTTCAAAATGGCCGCGCCCTATGTTGGGCGTGTCGGACCTCTCTCTTGCCTCGTATAGTAATCAAAGCAAAGAATACATACCCAAGAAGCGAAACTGAATGAGTTTTTCTATGTACCAAAGTAGCAGCGACCTTGACGTAAATGGGAACTTAATACACTGGGAAACGTATAATTCCAATCAATTTTTGTTGTTTGGTTCATGAGAATTAAACACATACTAAAGTTAAAATGACGGAAAATTCTTACTATGTTCAATAGATATTGTTAATAATAATAATAATTTTAGTAATAAGTACTGTAGGTAGCTGTAAATGTATTTTGATTGCATGATCCTGATAGCAGCGACTTGGTTCCTCAGAGTGAGTCTGTCATATATATTACTGTTTTAATCCTTACTATAAAATTGTTTATATGTATATTATTTAATGGATTAAATCGATCACAGTCCGTATGGTTTGAAAAACAAAATAGTATATTACATTACGAGTGTGGAAAGTGACATTTTTCACACAAGTGGGAAATATTGTCGCACGAGGCACAAGCTGAGTGCGACTATCACACGAGTGTGGAAAATCACTTTTCACACAAATGATGTATAATATTTTTTCTACGACCACAAAATAATGACATCAAAAAATGTAAAACCAGGTTATTATTACTATAATAATTAAAATGTATTTAAAAAAAATAATCAACAATAATCGTATTTATTCAATTTTCATACTTTCTAAACAAAAAAAATACTAAAAATAAAAAAAAACAAAAAAAATTCTGGCCCCGCCAAGATTTGAACGCGGTCGCTCGCCAAGTCTCAAATGGCAAAGTTAATAAGTTCGACGTTCTAACCATCTGAGCTAATAGCCCTTACGTCAATTGAATGATCTAATCGGTTATGTATTTAACCAGAATAAAAAGCAAACATATCTTAGTTATTTTAAAATTATTTTAATAATAATTGTTAAAGATAAATATCTAGGATCTAATTTACAACAATTTCAATAATTTAACAATCATATCGATTTTAGTATTAATATGGACATTACATAGATCAAAATAGAAATTATATTTTTAACATTTTCTGACAGCTACTGCGGAAAGTAGCATATTCGTACACGGGTGGAAAGTAAATTCTTATTCATACGCGTGTGATATAGGGCACTTTCCATAGTGTGATATGTGTCATTTTCCTAAGTGGTCGTAGGAAAATATATATATATAAAAAAGATTGAAATTTAACGTTGCATAATAAGTAGACGTAATAGTATATTATGCAACGATCCTGTAATAACCATTACATGAGAGTGGTATACGCCATTTTTTTTACACCCGATAAATAATCAAGAACTATAAATATTACTAATAGTAATTACTCGTATTTCTATAAATAAACATCTACAAAATTGTAATTGATGGTATTACCTTGAATATTGGTATTACCATAGATTTTTGGTGCAAAATATTTTGTACTGCATTTTCTGATTTCTCCGATATGTGTATAGGAGTCGATGGTAAGTCTTCTATATCGCTGATATCAGACATTTTGATAATACAATTATCTACGAAAATTTATTACGTACTGATTTTGACAACTTTGACAACAATTACATAGGAACTTAGGACATACGTCAAATGCACAGCATGCTTAATTGAAAAATAATCGGTTTCTAGTGAATAAAAATCTCCATCGTTATGAAAAATTATGTATCATAATGGGTATCATTATGAAACAGATTATGGGCATATAAGTGCATTATTATAATATGGGTGTAGAAAAATTATCACTAGTAATACCACTAGAGGTCAAAAAATTTCCTGATATTAATTTGACCTCGCGTGGTATTCGGTAAGAAAATTCCACGCCGAATTATGGTTGAAAATTAAATATTTTTAAAATTTATTTTTCGTTTCTCAACAATGCAAATTATTTTCTGCAAGTCACCAGTGAAACATAAAAGGTGTTGTCGCCTTGATTGTTGAGTTGTCATGGTAACTAAGTGAGACCCTAACCTCGAATATAATTTCAGTTTTGAAGTTGTCAAGCGGCCCGACGTAAAAAAAATGTTTCGCTGCAATTATTTAGGCTTTCAAATTGCTTATTTCTACTCATTGTAGTTGCATGGGAATACCATTTGAAAATAGAAAATAGTATATTCTTTAATTTTACGTAAGTTTCGAATAACTACAAGTGGTAGAAAATTGTTTTTCTGCGTTTTTATTAACATGCGTTATGAGCGCTTTAAAATGGTATGAAATTCATAACCAGCGTCAGCAAGCATCAATCGTAGGAGGCTGTGATCATTGTATTTTGACAGTTCAAAACATTAAATAACTCGCGTTTTGTTGCGATAAAGAATATTGCACGGCAAGTAAAACCAACAAAATTACCTATTTGTTTAAAAATGAATCGATTTGAAAATCATACGCTATGCAAAATATGCGTGAAATTGTCTGATGTAATGATCAATCATTGCACCATGACTTACTTACTCGGATTAATAGAGGATTGTGGCTCCAACTTGAAAAACGAAAATTTGTTCCGAATTGTCCACCAATATTTGCACCTAAACTACGCAAAATTCAAAGTGCTGAATGGGAAAAAGGTGAATAAATTAGTGTCTAAATATTATATATATTTTATTAGACATAGACACATAATTCAAAGCATCCAAAGTCCTGCATTTTCGCCATTAAGAAGAAAAGAAGTGGCCGAAGAATATAGAAAACACCTTAGTATTGTAACTAAAATGTATCAAAACTAAACCTATTATGTGAACAATTAAAAACCAGTCTGTCAAAAATGGTCTGTTATTGTAAACGTCAAAAAATTTCCAGTATAATTCGCTGTTGGGTACCCCACGAGAAAAAAAATTGCACTAAAATACCTCCGTTGCCATGGTGATCTGTCAAAAACACGTATTTTGATTGGTTCAAAATTACAGGTGTGGAATTTTCATTATAATACTGAATTAGAAGTTAAAAAATAAAACATTTACGGCCAGATGAAAGAACTTTTATTAAAATGTATAAGCCTGATAAACTTTTACAGAGAGTGAGAAAGTGATATGATATAAACTTTCAAATACTCACAGTCTAATACATGTTAACAAACGTTCTTGCAACCGGCTGGTAAACTCGTAATTTAATGATTTTTTTCCGGCCTTTTAATGTAAAAGCTATTATAAATGTTTCAATATACTTAATTTACGTTGGGCCTTACTCTTTTTTTAACGTTTTTCTGCATTTTTCTGTTATGCGAATTACAATATTTTAAGGAATAATATATTTTTAACCTAATAAATAATTTTAAAATATATAATACTGGAAAGAATAAACATGGATGTTGAAACTCAATATTTTTCATCTCCTGGAATTTAAACATTGTTAGCTCTTGTTCTGAAGTTGTAACACAACCACGAACAACGCAATGTATTTTTTTCAATGTAATAAAAACCTTTAAACTATCTAATATATAATTACTACTTTTAAATAAACCTACTGAAATTTTCTCAAAACGCTAAGAATAATATACCAAACGTCATACACTACATGAACTGACAACTATATTTGACGTTAAACTACCTCTAAAACACTGAGAAAACTTGGCAATTTTTTGTCCACGA